TTTTCTCCCTTTTAATTAAATAAATTACAAGTAAACCGTCGAACGTACAAAAAGTAAAGTATATATGTTCTTCGGCTAATTATAATTTGGCTCAGACATTGTATAATGCCCATAATAATGTCTTCTATGCTTCGCAAGAGTCATAGATACTATCAAGAATGATGTCGATGTTACATCACTACTTGTATCACAGACGTAAAGTTTGCCTATCCTAGGAAATTTGTTGATGCTTTTACCTATTTTTATTTCTTCCTCTTTAATTAAGTAAATTAAAAGCTCGATAGTGGAACATTCATGTTCAATAATGTACCACCAATGGTTTATAGTACGAACGTTTCATCTTTAAAAAATTTAATACATGAAAAAATATTCCTATATATTATGACTTAGTATCGACTTAGTAATATTAATTTATCGCATGACTTTATCATAAGATGGAGGTGGAGCTTCCTCTGACGAATTAGGCGGTGGAATTAAAATAGCAATATGATAAGGTGGTGGTGGATTCTGCCTCACTGCAGAAATGGGTCTAATGGTTTCATTAGGCATTGTACTTGTAGTGGTTACAGAAGCGATGTGCTCCTCCGTAATGTGTTCTTCCTGAATATGATGTTCCTGATGGCTGTTGCGTGGATTTCGGCGACACAGAATAGAATACAAACACGCAAGCAATATTAATGTCAACAAGCCCCAAAATACAAATATTTCTATACCTTGCCCCTGTTCAAAAAGTATCGGTATCGTTAATAACGAAATCACGTCGAAGGATATTTCTACGCTTCAACTTACTTTGTCGCTAAAGTAAAATTTTGCGGCAGCGACAAGGCCTGTTGCGATTACGAACGTTATCCAAACGCCGCATCTCAGTCTGACGCTCGCTAGTTCTGCATCGTTAACATCTGAGAAAACCAAGAGGCCCCTGTTTGTGCCATTCGAAGTAGCATTCGACATTATTAACTGATTATTCCCAGCTGTTGTTACATTACTGTAAACGTATAAAGTACACCTTAATCTTACGATTGCCAGTTTCACTGTACGGCTATATTATAGGTTATAAATATTCACATGCTTGTATATAAAAGTTATAATCAAGGGCGAATCATTTATAAGTACTTTCTCCTGATAGACATGTATAAGTGAGTCACCCTGTATATAAGAAGAACATGTTCCTCAGAATCCTCTTAGTAGACCTTTGTCTTTAATTACTTGGAGATGTTGTTCAGCTGTGCACGTTGAGCGGATCCGACAGGGATACTACTTTGATTTTCATTATTAGGTCTTATCATTGTCTGTATCACTCTGCAGTTATTTACATTGCTAGGACCGGCCACATTTCCTGCAGCGTTCAAATTTTGGAACCGATGAAGTGGAGTCACCATTTGTCTTAAATCTGCATTGTATCTGCATTGATCTACAAAATTATTACTCACAGACAGTGCTATGTTAAGGGTACATATTTATAGACACCCGAAGCCTAACTGTACAAAGACTTAGCGGCCTAAGTGAATGAAATTTCAAATTTTCAAATTATCTTACTGAAGTGAGTCTTTGGCAGAGGTGTGGCGGGGTATCGGCGGCCAGTAAAACCGTAGTACCTGCCCGCCGGTTTATTAATCCAGAAATGCATGCTCCGTTTTACCCTTCTCCAATATCCATCGTTATTTACCGTACTCTCAGAATCAGAACTTTGATCGACTCAAGGTTCCTTTGATCACTTGCATAAATACTTTCACAGCGATTCCGCGGTTGGTCTTAGCTCAAGTTCCATTGCCCGTACATTTAAAATCAATGCACCGCATCGACGCAATTTTTACATTCATCGTACAAGGGGGCAGATACTCGAAGCAATTCGTGATACACCTTCAGTACTGTTAGCAAAAAGCCTTAAAGATGTATCAAATTTTAGAGGCGAATTCGAGGTGTACGCCGTATCAAAAACCTGCATTCAAACACACGTCAATACGGAGTACAGGGGTTCTGCTTGAATTTTCTGCTATTGTCAATTTAAAACCAGGTATACCAACACTTACGAAATTTATGTTCACACTACTGCACCATCTCCTTAGGGTAACGCTACATCCCCCCACTTCACTAATTCAAGAAGTAGTAAGAGCGTTCGATGGCACTTTCAATAATGTTTACAAAAAAAAGAAAATCATAATAAAATACATTATTTTATGACACCATTATTTTCAAGTACTCCTCAGTCAACAGTTCATGTCAATAATCAAGGAGTGTTAAGTAACAGAGATTTTCTTACACATCATTACTATTTTAACATAACCTATAGGATAATTTGTAATTTATAAAACTGAATCTTATTGTAAAACCGAGGAATGTATTGACAGTTCTGTTGAGACTGTTTATCATACCCTACAAACAATGTTAATTCAGATTGGAAGGTTCCGATTTGGAACGCAATTATTTAAACAATGTTTGTTTTACTCTACTGCGAAATTTGATGAATTCCATGCAGAAAAATGCATAGTACAACCTGATGATAATCTACCATCACGTGCAGAAGAATGTATAGTACAACCTGATGATAATCTACCATCACATGCAGAAGGTACAAAATTCTTAAAGGTTGCTATCTTAGGATTACCAAATACTGGAAAGAGTACCCTAATAAATGCCCTCGTACAGAGACCGGTAAATATTTTTTCTCTATCTTTCTATTCATCCATAATAATATTTTGTTTACAAAATATACAAATAGTGTCTCAAATTTAATCAATGGTATAGTTAATACGTTGAGGACCTAATTCTACAAAAAGAAACAATTGTTATATATTAAATATTATATTCAAATTTGGGACATCAATTTAATTGTTCTTTTTATTAATAATGTTTATATTAAGCAAATGTTCTGATGTTGAACAGATATGTCCAACATCTTCGAAAGCTCATACTACAACTTACAAGGCAAATGCAATATATTCAGAAGGAGATACACAGATTGTTTTTATGGATACTCCTGGATTCGCATCAAAAAATGAGATGATAAAGTTTGAATTAAGTAAAGCATTTAAGAAGGATCCAGTCACATCAATAATTGATGCAGATATCATTGGAGTATTGCAAGATGCAACAAATGTGTATACTAGACATACAATGACTAGGTATATGGTTAACGATTTAAATAAGAGGAAAGAGAATACACCTGTAATATTAATTTTCAATAAAGTTGATAAACTCACAAATAAGAAAATATTGTTGGAATTAGTAACACAGTTACAAAAGAATAAATATATTCCAAAGTTTGATGATATTTTTATGATATCCGCCCTCACTGGAGATGGTGTAGATGATTTAAGGGTAACAAGCAACTCGAATAATAATAATAATATGACATTAATTCAGCAAGTATTGTCATCTGTATAATTATATATGTATTTCAGAATTATCTGCTTGATAGTGCCAAAAAGAACAAATGGCAATATGAACAGAATTTGTACACGGACCAGTCACCTGAAAGTATAGTGAAGCAAACAGTAAGAGCAAAATTGTTGGATTTGCTTCCAACTGATATGCCATATGTAACAGAGGTAGATGTTCAGCATTATGATGTCAGCAAAGACGGTACTGTCACTTGCGTAGTATTATTAAAATGTCCCAGAAAACATATAAAAAATACTTTAGTAAAAAACCGTGGAGAAAAGTTAAGACTAATTGCAGTTGTCATAGAAAGAGAATTACGGCATGCTTTTAAAACTAATGTTTTTGTACGTTTAATTGCACTAACATTTTCTAAGGAACAAAATTGTTATTTATAAAATAAATTTAAGTTCATGTTATACTGTAATTAAAAAAATATTTATAGTAGTTCCTTTTATACACAGATTTAGAAATTAATAATTCCATTTTTGTAAAATATCACTGGCAGTTATTGTTAGTATTACAATTAAAATAGGGAAAGATGAAGTCAGTCCCTTTAAGATTCTCTTCTATCCACTTATCGGCTTTGGCATCAAGACTCGGAGTGAACATGTCCCTCCAACCACCGCTTTGCCCGTTTCTGACAAATGCTCCCGCTGTTATAATATTGCACTGTTTCAGCTCAGATGAGTTGACCATTGGATTGTTTTTGAAATTCTCGATATTTAAATAATCTGCTACCTGTCTTAATTGTTCCTCTGTATAGGTCTTTCCAAGAAATTTGGCAACTTTTTTAGTAGCTTTCAGAAAATCCTAAAGATGAAACAGAGAAATAAGGATTTACTGAAAGACCAACTTAAATGCAATTAAAACATTAATTTGACTAACATGCTGCATTTCTTCATAAAACATAAACAACAGATTTGGATGATCTTTAAGGGACCATGCTTCTTTCAAGTGTTCCCAATAAGGGCTCCAGGGTGCTGAAAATATTAAATATAGAGCACATATAATTGTATTCCACAGAAGTTCCATTGTTTTACACTTATCGCTAAATTACTTCTAACTTTTACAAAACTTACTAAGATTATTTTGAAAATAATCCCAAAACATTGCAAAGTCACCCTTGTATCCTTGAGTCTTAATTGCCTTATTCAAATGGTACCAACTAACTGCTACATCTTTTGGATTTCGAGCAACGTATACTATCTTTGAAGAAGAAAGTCGAATATTATTAAACAAGGGATGGCTAAACAATAGTAGTCATCCTTATAAGATGCATACTCGATTACCTTACAACCGCTGTCTAGAATTTCAGGTAGCAAACTGAATGGAAAATGTGATTTAATGAATCTAGGTGATGCTATTTTCGACAAGACCTCGTACCCTGGTTCAGCAATTTGTTTGCATAAATTTTCTTTCTCCTTATCGCCTTCGTTCATCTTCAAAAATTCACGCGTTACTTCCGGATGATTATACATGCTAAACCTACACATTCAATGTCATTTTATTCTGCTCATCATTAATGGGACCACCAAGTGCTGTAACATTGAATTCATCAAATTAAACGTTAAAACGTATACTAACTCAAGAAACGGAAATCGTTCTGCAAGCAGTTCCTTCCTAGCTCTCTCAAAATCTAAATTATTAGACAAAAGCCAAACCAACTCCTGAGTCCATGTTGTGCCTAAAAAAAAATTCTCATAATTTCACAAAACCAAATGGCATTCAATGTATCAATTGGTGATAATTATTACTAAAAAAACTGATAAATTAGCGAATGTGTCAATAAGAGAAAACTTAACATTAGAACTACCAAGGATTTAATACGACTGATATGTAGTCCCTATAAAAATTCTAACAATAGATTATTTTCAGTTTTTTCAGACATTCATTATAGTATTCAAGTCAAAGCTATTCATCTCCAAGATCATGTCGCATATTCAATGCTTTTAAGATATCAATAATTGTGAAAACAATCGGAACCAGTCATTTTGACTGGTACGTAGTTCTAGTGTTAATGAAGCTAACGAAGACCTCACTCACCAGACCTCGGATAAGATATGACCCAAGTGTCATCGGGTCGCGCTTTAAAATTATAAAATCCTTCGCCCTGTTCTGTGTATCTGTACGGGAAGAACCATTTTTTGTCGCCCACGAGCACCCAGCCAGTTCTTTCACCGTTGAACACTTGCAACATCTCTTTGGTCTTCTCCTCGTCCAGAAATTCATACTTTGGCGGTGCCACAGACATCTTCAACGACACGTTTAATTACAAAAGCTCCACTGATAATACTATAATGCACTCTTCCAATCTCCGTTTAATCGAGCCAACTTATTCCGCAGTTTATTGCCGACAGACACGTTCGTTTCATTTGTTCATGCTTTGTGCGCTTTATCGTTTACACTTTTTCATTCTTATTTCACCGCCATCGCGGTATACGCTGTATACCGATGAGGAGGAAGCAAAGTGTAACGGTCAACTGGCCGAAGTAATGATACGCAGTTGTATATTCAGGTCAATAGGAACTTTCACCTGTCTCCGAGCTGACTCCGGGAAAGTATGGCTAAGGAAATTCGACTGATTTCATTTTATTGTACGAAACCTGTTGCATAAACTTGTCCTCAAACAGACTGAACTGCTCGTGCAGCTTTTCCTCGGTATTTAAGGGATTTAGTTTGAGAAAGTGGGAGAAGAGAGTGGCGAAAGTCTTCAGTGATATGCAGGTTTTGGAGGGGCTGTTACTCTAGGCCCATCGTTTTGGGTCCTATACTTGTTATCTTGATCTTCTATCACTGTAGTCTGAGTTTTAGGAGAGATGTTTTTATTGGATGTATGGCAGGTGGTCTGCAAAAGGAGAGTCTGATAAATTAAGCATTGGTCATGTCTAATTGATATATAGTTTGATGATAGAGGAAAAGGAACATGACTTTGGAATGACTTTGAAGGGACTCTGGTGAGTCATAGCTACTAATACCAAATAGCTGTCCACATTTTCCTTCACTTTTTCATAGAGTTGTTTATTTTTCAGCAGATTGACTCTGAAATTGAAATATAAATATACAAGTCAGTGCTGAGGATAAAGATATTGGGATATCTGTGTACGTACTGTTTGAATAGATAACGGTCAGGAGATATCTTTGTTGATTTATTGGAACGGTTTTCTATGATTAAATATTTGAATAGTAATAACCGAATGGAATATTCGAAAAAGTTCTTTATTCTTCCTTTCAAACATTTCGTTTGAGTTCAATGGCAAGTACTCGCTTACGCGATTACATTTCACATAGTAAAAAATTAAATAGCTTAAAAAATCTGTAAACCTGTTGGGACAGAGACTATCCTATGTTCTCGATATCGGAGACAGTATCCTCACGCAGATTGAAGAAGTAAAATAAAATGCATTTTTAAAGTTAGATCGAACACGTCTCGAGTTTCAACTGCTTCGTGTAGGAACGTCTCGTTACGTAATCGGTTTCTATAGAAATATCAGTCTTATTCCGTCACTTATAATTGAAATAAGCGTAAGAGCACCTCGTTCAATCTTCACGAAACTCGTAGTGCTAACTAGAGATTAAAATGGCGCTTTCTTTGGTCGTGGATTTGAAGTTTCCAAGAAGAACGAGCTCGATGATTCTTCGAACGAAAATCGACGTGCACGAATAACGCGATCGCAATGGAGTAAGTATAAAAGCGAGCTAATCGTCGAACGGTTTCCACCTTCGTGCAAATCGATTTTCTGATAATGAGCTACTTAAGGCTAATCGAATATGGAAAAATACAACGTGCTTCCGTTACAAAAATATCGATCGAGTTTTAGACCTTAAACGCTAATGAGTATCCTAGCCTATGAAAGCACAGAAATGATTGTCCGAGTACATCGTGTGCATGAGAAAAAAGAGAACAAACGTAAGGCTATCCAAACGGTAGGTTTCGGAGTCATCAAAACTTAAGTACCCGTAAATAGAAACTTAAGTACCCTTTGTATTATTGGTTTGTACTTTTGGGCACCTTCATAATAAAATACGTAATTGCTATAATATACTTTCAGAGTCTATTGCGTCCGTTGAAAGTAATTAAAAACTTTCCGGTCCCAGCACGTTCTCGAGGACCATTAGATTGTCGTTCTTCGAAACTACTTTATCGTTGACGTCGGTAATTTCAATGACACTGATCTCGTGGGGTTCCGTTATCTCTCCCATCTCTTTGAACACGTCGTCGCGTGTCCATGTCTTATCCGACGATTTGATACAAGAGATATTCAATCCCAACTTCATCGCAGTCTTTTCTTTATCGTCTACAGTCTTTATTGATGATTGCTCGGCCTGCTTCTCGGCGAAAGACTCGAAGTTCAACGAGTCCCTGCTAGCCACGTCGTCACTTAACTCTGTTAGTTTACTCACTGACGAAGTCCTTTCTTTCTTAACTAAAAGATCCTTTAGCTCTGGATTCTCGAGGAACGGTTTACACCGTTTGGTATGGATCTTCATGTTGTCGTGCCGATTGAAGGCTTTGTTGCATCCAGGACAATGAAATCTATGAGAAATGTTATTAAAATAATCAAATTGAGGGATGCAATGACAGTCGCCTTTGTCACAGTTTTTATTAATTAAATTGGACGTACCTAATTTTACTATGCACCGCCATATGAGCTGCCAAGTGAGACTGTTGTCCAAATGCCTTCTCACAGACGCCGCACTTGTACTTTCTAATACCCTCATGTTTTAACAGATGTTCCTTTAATATCTGGCTGCTCTTATACACGTTTGGGCAAAGGGTACACTTATATTTTGCGGCAGAATGAACCTGTAATGTGAATGTTCGTTTTATGTAAAACGTATTGACAAACAATGAAGCCTAAATGTTGTTGCATTGATGGTTCAATAGAATACAGCTTACATTCTGATGATTGTGCAAGGCTTTCTTCGACTTGACTCGCTTGCCACATATATTGCATACGTAATCCTGAGTATGAAGATTTTTGTGATGGGTTTCCAGTGCCTCTGCATTAGACAGGTAGGCAGAACACAACTTACACATGACAACTTTATCTTTGTTATGAATAATCATGTGAGCACGTAATTTGCCTCTTGAATAGAACTCTTTGCCACACGTTTTGCAGCTGATATCCTACAAAATTTGATTAAAAGATGAATAGGACACATTACAGAATATGAATATTAACCCTTTGCACTCTAAAGTTTTAAAATACCAACTATTCAATTTTATATGCTGTATCAAATCAAGTGGTGACTGAGAGTCACCTCTCAAGTGCAAAGGGTTAACTGATAAATACACTATAGTTTTATATATGTTACCTTCACTGGCTTATGTGTAGCGCTGTGATAACTTAACACCTGTCGGCTCGAGCTCGCGAAATCACAAAGCTTACATTTAAATGGACGGGCACCTGTGTGAGTATTCATATGCTCTTCTAATAAAACGGCAGTGACATACTTTTTCTCGCACAGATTACAAGCGAACGGTTTGATCTTCAAATGGCTCTTCCTAATATGGCAACGAACATTGCTAACAGTTACCGTAGCAAAATCACAGGCTTTACATTGGTACGGCTTCATTTGCAAATGGCCCCAGACGTGCACCTGTAAAAACAATTATCATCGTTAACACTAAGTTTATGGAACACGTGAAATTGACACATATTGGATTTTAGAAATATTATTTTGTAAATGTTGAAATGTACCCCAATTACCTACTATCAAATCTCCAGTTTCCACAATCTAAATAAACGAGCATCAATTCTTTTAAGAATAATAGAATCAAGTGTACAATAAATGCTTAACCTAGTGTTAAGACTCCTCTTTCAATAATCACAATCACAGCCACAAATTACCTGACACTTGTCCATCCGAAGATAGAGACTGCCACAGATATTACAGCGCATGTTCTTCTTATCAACCACCGTTATATTCTTCTGTACCTCCTCTGAATTCACAATCGACATATCAATAGTATAATAAGTCTCAATCGTCTCCTTCTGTTCGTCGCTTATCAAATCCGAGATTTTACCAAACGAACGGTCCCTGCTCTTGTTGCCATCAAAATTACCACTCTTACCGAGTCGCTTAGACACCGGAAATTCGCATTCCGTATCGCTCTTCACATCATTCAAATCCGACTTAATGACTACCTCAAGGTTTTTCCTACTCTCCTCTGAATCAACAACCTCAGTCTGTGAGGATCTTATAACAGTTCCACGAGTTTCAGCAGGCGTTCCCGGTTGCTTATCATCAGTATCATCAGAATTCACAGTATCATCCTCTAAATGACTCAAACTCGTGTCCTGTTCGATTTCCTGATCCCGATCCAGCATCAGATCTCGTCCCCGTGCGAGTATCTCATTCGGAATCCAAACCAGCTGATTCGCTTTTCCAGATTCCTGGGACGCTTCGCTCTCTACTTTCTCCTGCTTCACGATCACCGATATCGCTTTGCCCTTTACAATCTTCTCCTCTTTCCCTTCCGGTGGCTTATCCGTTTTCTCAGGGCTTCTGTCAATCCCCTTCACGTCCTCCATGTCGGTTACATTATTTACATTAGTTTTGGCATGTCTACTGGAATACGCTAGCTTATTTTCTGTCGGCTCGAGTTGCGACTTGGACAGAGTTTTGCCGTTAGTCAAGTTGGACCGATTGTCCGTGCAGATCGCGCGCAGGCATTGCCTCTTGCGCTGCCTGCCGTCGCCTCTCGTCTCGTGCGAGTCTTTCTGCTGCTCTCTTTTCACGTTCAGCAGCAGCCCGGCTTCTCTTAGCTTCTCCAGTTTGCTCTTCCTACCCCTTTTGCGCCCCCTTCGCTTCACCAGCTGCACGTTGCTGTCCTTTATTGAAATGATGTAGTTATTCAAAGTTTCTGAACTGGCGCGATTCAGTTGGTTCGACACATCCTTTTCAGTCATCGGTTTACCGGGCTTCGCGTTGTTCGTCTCCTTATTCTTCGATCTTTGCTCCTGGACGCTCGCATCGCCTGACTTCTGCTTCTTACTGTCTAAAGCGTTCTCCTGTAGAACCGCGCGTCCCGAGGGACTCTCGCTCGTGGAATCCTTAGCGTATTTCGGGCTATCAGGCGGCAGTGCTTTCGTTTTTCGTTTCGCCTCGATCGGCAAAGCATTCTCTTTGTTCGACTCCGCATCGTTTTCGCTGTCGAATCCCTTCTCCGAGTTTTTCTTCTGTTAAATATAAAAACATGTTTTAAACGCTAATCACCGTACGTCATTCATTGCGTTAAGTGAAATTTGGTTCTCCAACCGAAGAATATCGTTCGTTTTTTATTGAAATTTTTTGTTGACTTATTTCATTCTGCACACAAGGTGGTGAATAAAATTAAGTAATCAGTTAACTTGAACTTTGATACGCTCAGGCGTGAAAGTTTAACGTCATTGTAACGTGAAATTTATAAAATATATTCGTTTGATGAAATTATTGAAAATATTGAATACATTGTTAATTCGTATTCATATGTGGATATTTATTAATTTTGTACTGCATAGATTTTCTTCTAATCGTGAACAGAAATTCGGCTTATAGAGGGTTAATTGAACATAGTCTAGAGAATTTCACGACGCGAAGTATTTTATAGAAACTTAATTAAAAAGATAAAATATTCATAAACAACTCGACTCATTATTGACTCGGTGTTATGAAAAAAAAGAATTATAAACATTAGAGAATGTTACAACTGAGCGGTAGTTAGCGACAGGAAATTTCGTGGTCGTCCCGAATGCGTTAATGCCGCGACATACTACTGCAAGTGAATGCAGACGTGGCGGAGATTTTGGTCAGACAAACGTATCGTTATAGCTTACTGCCTCCTCGGTGAGTTTCATTTGGGTGAGCTGACAACGGTCGTAGAAGTCGCAGAGGAACTCCAACGCGCCCATGCATCGCAGGCAAACGACTTGCGGCAATCCATCGTTCTCTTCTATCTGGAAAAGAGAAATAAACGTTTCGGTGTCCGGGGCGCTGACATACCTAACGAAAACGCGACGCTGGCGAGAAATTCGATTAACAGATTAAAAAGTGCATAGTCTTATCTTCAGTTTAACGCTAGGTTGATTTGGATTTTAGAAATATTATTTTGTGAATGTTCACGCCAATTTTGATTGAATCACACTGACATGTACCCCAATTAGCTACTATCGAATCTCCAGTTTCCACAATCTAAATAATCATCAATTCTTTTAGGAATAGAATGAAGTGTATAAATGCCCGTAAACCTAGTGTTACTGCAATTGATTATCTTCTATAAATTAAGAGACAGAACTATTTTACTTCGATGTTTTATGTGCTGATGCATTATACAAGGATTAATATTGAATTGAAAATTTTGTAAGTTCGCTGCGTCGAATCAGGTGGCTTAAGGCGCCCCTCGAGTGCAAAGGGTTAGCATTAGCATTCGTCTCAGCATTGGCAAATATGATTTCTATATAGTATTACTGTAATACTCCTGAAACTATAGTAATCCACTCGAGAAGAGTTTCATTCTCATCTTCGAGGGCCAACATTTCCACCGTGTCGATAGAAGAATTTAGAAATGAAGAATTCAGACATGTAACCCAATTACCTATCAAATCTCCAGTTTCCACAATCTAAATAATCATCAATTCTTTTAGGAATAGAATGAAGTGTATAAATGCCCGTAAACCTAGTGTTAAAAATCCCATGGAGGAATTTCGTATAATTTGTAATAATAATAATAATAATAGTAATATATTATTGTATTATTATTGTTTACGTTGAACGAGCACGCGACACCGAAGAAAAAATAGAAATGAAAGCGAATGATCCCAAAAATATTGTACCTTTATTGAGAAGAGTCGTGAAATCGTTAAACAAATTCTTCTTTATTGTCGAGAAATTATTATACGCTTTTTATTACGTTTTTCTGATTTTCCTTGTTGTTGTTGTTGTTGTTGTTTGTTTGTTTGTTTGTTTACTGGGCGTTACCCTAAATCAGTGACATATTAACAACTATATTTATACGTAAGAGAGTGTAACGCTATTGACAAGTACATTATCTCCTAGATGGAAAAATAGTTTCGGATTAACAAACGCCTCGTAGAAAATAGGAGTTATTGCTTACATCGCTACTTGAGGAAAATGTATATAATAATATTAGATGTAATATCATTCGCGTGATATTAATTAACGTAGTTCTCACAGTGAACGTTCCATTTTTCTTTTCTAGTGGTCGTAGAAAAATTCTTTGCGCTCGGATCTCGATTAGTTTGTAGAAAAAGATATGTGTCTCGCGTTTATACTCCTGGCTCGACTGCAAGTTCACCGTGATTCTGAGAATTTATTCTTATCATGGAAAACGAGAAACACGAGAACCGAGGTGAACTTGCAATTCCGAGCAGCAGCAGCGTGCGCGTGGATGACGGCTCGAGATAAATGCTGCACGAACAGTTCTCTCGTCGCTCCTTTAATACATCTCGTTAATATCAAAACGTTGCCGACGAATAACGGACCAATTGTCCATGCGAAACATGCAACGGTTACATTAAGGCTTGAACTCGACGGTTCCTTAAGGCCGAGAGAAAATCTACTTTCAAAAAGGTAACCGACTGAAATTCACATTTTCCTTCTTTCCTTAGGAAGAACAATGCATACGAAGAATTCTTATCGACGGTATTATCCCCGTGTCAACGTCTACGCAACGCTGGAACAAAATATATCGAGTCCCTCAAGGCACTTACATACAGTTCTCATCTTTCCCTCCTCTCCGCAGATCACATACAAGAAGTTTTTCATAGCATGATCGATGATGGACGCTATTTTCACATTGAAATCTCCGTTACTTTTCATACAGGGTCCAGTGAACACTGTTGAACCCATTACGCTTTCCATTAAGGACATTTTTTCAGAATATTTCACTTGGAGACGTATCCCATGGTTCGAACAATCATTCTCACTGGATCCTCATGCATGCGTAGACTGACTAGCTTGAGAAGAACACTGCAACCGTAGACTGTGTACGTCTCAGGGCTATCAATGCTCCTTCGCTGCAGGATCCTTCTCAAACTTGACAAACAGTTATGCGCATACAATAGTCTTATATGTAAAATATAATCGAAAATAGAGTAAAATACATCTTGCACACGTATCGTGTAAAAGTTTTCCAGTTCTTTTAAAAACAGCTGTGTAAAAATAGATAGAAAATATGTTTTTTTTTTCTTTTCTTTTCGTTTTATACCCCCTGTTAGTCGAGGTACTTGACTTTGGAAGCCCTATCCGTGCCGTATTCACAATTTTTCAAGAGTCAAGCTATCTTAGGGAGCTAACTGTGCGGTGAACGTACAAAAATTTTCTCGTCAGTGTCGTATTGCACCCAATTATATTCTTTGGCTTCCCTTATCGTCGGTGGATTCGATTGGTATTTCTGCGAAGTTTCTCTCCGTACGATTCAGCATGCGAAATTGTCTTTTGAAAAGAATTCGACAGGAAGAATGTGATACATCGCGTCGCTTCGTCATAGAAATTTATCGACTCGTCGTCCATTCGTCTGCCTCTTCATTGCAATTTTCGTGGAATTTAATTGGTGGCGTTTACGTGCGATAATCTTATGGCGTAGTATATGTAAATGGAAAGAATACTTAA